TATTCCTAGCATCTTGGGAATAATTAGATACTTTGAAATTGACTTCTGAGTCATGTGGAAGCAAAGCTAATGACAAAAAAAGGGAGCAGGGAGTTCACCTTATATTCCATGTAGGCAAAAAGATTTAAAATCAGGGACTACTTTTGTAAAGTCTCTCTTGTTGTGAGACAAACAAATGATGTGATAAAGTATTTGCATTGTAGTTTAGCATAATAAATTCATTGCTCAAAGCAAAGAGGCTTTATTTTATTAAGGACAGAACTTTTTTAAAACTTATATAGCTTATTATAGTAATCAGTCTGAGGAAAAGCAGCTACTGTTCTGTTACAGGTTGGTATTTCTAAAGAAGAATCAATAAAGGCAGTCCACTGAAGTTAGATTGAAGATGTTCTTGAATTTGTCTTTTAGGCTTTCTGTGAAACTCTGGAGGAAACAAATTACCGCCTACAAAAAGAACTGCTTGAAAAACAAAGGGAGGTTGAATCACTGAAGAGATTGTTAAGTGAAAAGCAACTCCATATAGATGCTGTTGAAAGAAGAATTAGGTATGTAGATATTTTATGGGGTTTAGAAGTTTCTTTCCATAAAGCATTTTCTCTATCTAGTCACAAGCACCAGATTTAGATGTGTTTTTGGAAACCATTTTCCCCGTATAACCACACACAAAGCAATATTTTCAGTAAGCTCTTTCTCATATGCTGGCTAAAAGCTATTTAGTACAAATGGCTGAGAAACTTGTCCCATCTTTTCCCTCTAAGGTAGCTGGAATTGTTTCCTAATCCTCTAAACCCTCTAAAGATGGAACAAGATTCTGTTCTGCATTTGAAATGTTGGATATGTGAAATGCCCTGCTAGAGATGAGAGCAGTGGAAAAATTGCTGAGTTATAAAATCCTGTCTGTACTCAAAGCTTTGAGAGTGCAGTGATCAAGAAATTATATATCTGTATTTATGCCTTTGACTTTGTTCTGAATTGCCTGCAATGATGCTGCAGATATCATTTAAATAGCACTGGAGATTGTCCATTTAAACCCAAGGGGAAAATGGTGGAGTCTGATGGTGCCTATCTGCTAAATTTTGTAGTAGGAGCTGAGGAGTTGTTGTTGTGCTATTCAGTGTCCCATTAGAGCTGCTGAATCAATCATTGCAGCATATCCTTAGCAAAAGAGTAAGTTCCCATGGTCCCATTAGAATTTCATAGAATCGCAGAATGGTTTGGGTTGGAAGGAACCTTAAAGATCATCTAGTTCCAAACTCCCTGTTACTGGCAGTGGCACCTTTCACTAGACCAGTTTGTTCAAAGCCCTTTCCAACCTGGCCTTGAACACTTCCAGGGGTGGGGCATCCACAGCTTCTCTGGGCAACCTGTTCCAGTGCCTCACTACCCTCAGAGGAAATTATTTCTAACCAATACTAAAGAATTTCTTCCTAATAATGAGATCAGATGGAAAAACATCTCTTTCATGTGTATGTGACAAGGGATAGTGATGGATTTTATTTTTTTTAATATTTTTTAGAATAAATTTTATTTTAATACTGTATGGGTTGTATATCCAGGTTGACTAACAAATCACACCTTATAAGGTTTAAGTGAACTACTCTTGGAAAGGATTTAAATTAAATTGTGATTTCTTTAAAATTCTGATCATAATGTCACATTGGCAAGTAATTACTTTTGAAAGATGCTTTCCTTGTTTGATGAGAAAGCTATGACGTGCTGCTGGCTTAACGAGTGGAATAGTCAATAAAAATGAAATAACTTGCATTTGGCTAAAACATCATGATAGGAAGTTCTGTGTGACTATAAATAGGAAGGCATGAATAGCAAAAAGGGATTCTATTTTTAGTGCTTTCCCCAAAGATAGGTAATGTTTTTTAAATACACAAACGCCCTGCCAGTTTCCCAGACATATAAAATTATTGAAAGTCAGCAAAGTGATGTCTAAAATCTTGATGGAAAATAACTCCTGTGTTTTTTAGTTATAAAATTTGCCAAGTAAACTTGTGAGCTTGTGTAAGAACTTCAGCTTGTCTAATGGGAAATTAACCCAAAAGAAATGTGCTGTCTTTGGCCTTGTTGAAGTGGAATTTTTATTTGATAGCCCAACAAAAATTAAGGATCTGCTCTCTATACACCCTGAAGGTCACGTACCTAAAATGTGTGAGGTAGGAGTGGACAATTGGACAAAGCATCAGACTCATCGGCCTTTTGGCCCAAATGTAGGCCTATAATCTAGTGAGAGAATACTGCTGAGAGATTACTAAAAATGCATGCATTAAAATAAAACAATAGAAACAGTAGTAGTTAGAGTAATTTTAAACAGGGGTGAAATATAGTAATATCACTTCCAACACAAAACGAGTCACAAGCTTCTATTTCCAATTCAGATCACACCTTTCAACACTACAATGCATGTTTTCCGCCAGAGCAATACTTTGCAAAAAACATTTCTTTGATCACTTTACATGACCACATTCCCATTTGTATCCAGGCTAGTCAGGCTGTTACCTTGTGTTGCCACTAACAAAAATTTATTACCTGTCTCTGTCACTAATAGGAAAACATATTGCTCTGAAACTTAATATGTGACTTTGTAAAGTTACAATGAGAAACTTGGGAAACTGTTGAAGAAATATTTTGATCATCTTGCCTTTCTTTATTCTGGCTATGTTTTGGTTATAATCCTTCTGCCATTTAGACAAGATATGTGTGGCTTAGATCTCCTGCTTGTGATTATTTTTACATCAAGTCATACACACTCCTCTGGGACTTGCCATTTGTAAAGCTTCTAAGTCATGATGCAACCAGAGAATCATAGAATCATGGGTTGAAAGGAATCTGAAAGATCATCTAGTTCCAAGCCCCCTGCCATGGGCAGGGACACCTTCTACTAGACCAGGTTGCTCAGAGCTCCATCCAGCCTGGCCTTGAACACTTCCAGGGATAGGACACCCTTGTTTGGGCAACCTGTTCCAGTGCCTCACCACCTTCACAGTGAAGAATGGCTTCCTAATGTCTCATCTAAACCGGGTCTTTCTCAGTTTAAAACCACTCCCCCTTGACCTGTCACTCCATGCTCTTGTAAAAATTCTCTCTCTCTCTTGTCAGCTCCCTTCAGATACTGGAATGCTGCAATTAGGTCATCCCAGCCTCACCCAGCCTTCTCTTTTCCAGGCTGAACCATCCCAATTCACTCAGCCTTTCCTCACAGGAGAGGTGCTCGATCCCTCTAATTGTCTTGGTAGCCCAGAGATTCAGAGGACTGAACTTAGCTTAGGAATAAGCAACTGGAGCAAATAAACCATTTAAATACCTGTCCAGTGCAGCCTTGCATCTCTGTACTAATAAAAGAAATGGGGCCTGTATGATGAGATGGATAGGTTCCCAGAACCTGCAGATGTTAAAATGAAACAAACGGTTTTCAGTGATGAAAGTTTGCTGTATGGATTGGTGGTACTCTGTTTTTATCTGTTGTAGGGATTTATCTTTAGGAAAAATGACTCGTCAGATGTCAGGAGAAGAAAGTGAGTGCAGTGGTGAGGTGGAGTCTTCTGCAGTAGAAGCAGACCAGGGTACCCTGGGTGAGGACAGCTGGTAAATACTATTGTTTTACTTATATTTTAGTAATTCTTAAAGTATATTCTTTTAAATGTTTGGTCTTGCATAAATTCTACACAGCTGAGGAACTCAGCATTTGATTGCATCTCTCTGCTGCATAAAGACCCTCAGGATAGATAATTCTAGATCTGGAATAAATGCTAAGTTGAACAAGCTTTGTAAATGTTTTGTGAATTGTCTGCATAAAGTAACTGTGGAGAATCGTACTAGGTTTCCATTTGATGAAGCTTATTGATCTGTCGTTGCAGCTCAGACAAAGAGAACCATGAGGCATGTTGGAGTGGCTCTTTGGCTGGAAATTCTGTTCCAGAAATTGAAGTTGCTGAAGTAGCATATACCGCAGATGAAGAATAGATGAGCAGCAGCTGCTGTTACCTGGGACAGGTTCATGTTTGGAAGGCATCTGTTGGTAGGAGCAGAGTGTAGCTGTGAAGAATTT